AATGATGTCAATGTTTTCAATATGGAAAAATGATAAATAAAGTTGTAAAAAAAAAAATGCTATTGCCAATGTCTTTTACAATGCTCAGTTGAGTGTTCACATTTTGACGTATTTGTTATGTAAGAGTATGTGGGTGTGAAATCACTGAGGCTGTTTTGTTTTGGAGAGATGTTTCAGTTTCAGACCATGTCTGTTTTATTTTATATTCTGGGCTGAAAAAAGGACGTATATAGTTGGAGATGTATTTGTTCAGTGTGCAGATTTACAGCCTAAAAACACACATTATAGTATCTCTTTCTCGTCTGTGGTTTAAAATAGAGGAGTGTTGTAGTGTGTGAGAGGAGGAGGGAGTAGAATGACTGAAAATGAGTGAATGTGTGTGTGTGTATTTGTGCCTGTCTGCACATTACCAACATACTAAATTCTGAATATGCCCAAAACACTCGCAGTTTCGTCTACCGAAGACAAACCTACTAACAACCAGAAGCTGTGAAACCACTGAGGAACTCTAATAAATATAATGGAAGAGCATCAACATGCTAATGTGGTCTGTTTTCTGTCTAAACAAGCTACTCTCGCTGGGAACAAGTCAAAAATGTGTGTGCATACCCTGATGTTTCTTATTTTCTTTTTTTAAGGATACAGTCCCAACCAACTGGAACTCAGAATAGTTGTCACACTTCCAACTGCTGAACCAATGGCAGCGCGAGTCCTTCATGTAGGTGAACATTCCTGAAAATAAAGAAACATTTTGTTTATTTAAAATATGGTGATTAATAAATCAATAATGCCTGGATGAAGAGATTGATGGATAGATAGGGTGGAGTTAAATGGAAAAAGGGAACTATGCAAATATAGAAGTAAGGACAGGAGCAAAGGAGAGAATGAGGATGAAAAAATGGAGGAAGGTAGAATCACCAGCATTATTAATCAAATAAACATATATTTAAATCTGCGACTGTTTTTTAGCCACTTGGGGGCAGCAGAGACACAACATTAACATACCATCTCCTTTTAAGTTGCTAGGTTGACCTTGTTGGCAAACTTATTTCCACATCCAGCAGTTACGAACAGGGTTGGGTAGCATTACAAAAAAATAAATAACTATAATCAGGCCAGATAACATTTGAAAAATGTGCAATTCAATTATAGTTACATTGTCATGGATTACTTGATTACTAGTGATGAGTGGGTACACCATTATTTGTATCTGTTCAAACAGCTATATTATCTGTATTGTATCAGTGCAACTTCAAAAATGTGCAAGACAAATTATTATTGGAATGTTTTGTTATGCTTTGATTTCAATGTTTGATTTTGAAGTAATCCAAAAATACTCAGAGTAGATTACATTTTTTTGTAATCCAATGAATTATGTTACTAATCACAAAAATTCTGATGCAGTTTGTATTCAGTAACCAACTACATTTCAAAGTAATCTGACCCAATTCTGGTTACAGAGCAACATCATCATTTATTTGGAGTCATGTTTGTGTCACTAAATCCAATATTCACTTGCTCTATTTAGCTCTATTTTTGGTGTCTACCAACTCCTGA